TGCACAAGAAATCTTAAAAAGACCAATTACCACATACCTTTAGAGACAGATTTTTTGGGGGAAATTTAATATTCGGTGAGGGCTTTATGAAAGAACTTTGGCAAACCAACTACACACAACACGACTGGTTTCATGCCATTCAACTGCTTAAGAAATCTCAATTTTTCTGTCCTGTTCTCATTATGAAACTCATTCTGCTTCAGAAATGTATTTTACTCTCTAGCGGATGTTGAGCCATTTTACAAATACAGGGGACAAGCTGAAGCGACAAAGTCATCTTTCAAAAGACAGAATGTGTTTTTTTTTATTAATTTTCCAGGAAATTTGCTTTAATTTCTTTAAAGGGTTTATACCATCTAGACATTATATAACTAAAAATGTTATTCATTTATTTAATGTGATTACAAATACACTTTTTATTTATGCTACTCAAGAAGTTCCAGTTTGATCTGTGTGGTGGATTTGGTTTGACACTCTGTGTTTGATTAAGTTGACTTGTGTGTCATACTGATCATCGGTTGATTGCTCAAGCCTGGGCGATGTATTGGTTAGGGATGGGCGATACCACTTATTTTGTTTTCTATACGATACCGATATTTTTCAAGGCAGTATCGTCGATACCGATACGATACTTCTGAACTAAACTTTTAAATGATGAAATGTATTCAATTATTAAATTACTAAGAGTAAAATGGGTAATGATAACCACTTAACATTATGTTTAAAACACAATACGCCTTAATTGTAATTTATTAGGTTATATTTTTGTTTACACATGGTTCAAATGTGTTTTTTGTTTACGCATGATTCAAATCTACAAATACTACAGTTGAACTATGGTCACTTTAGTAAAACCATGGTTCATTATCATAAGGGGCTGCCAGTGACAGGCTGTTGCATCCATAAAATGCAACCTTTTAGTTCTGACAGTGTATGATTTCTATTAACATTACAGAATAGAACATGATCTGTATTATCTTTCAACGTTCAATTTAAATAAATGTAATTGTACAAACTATGTAGGCTACGATTTCAATTTGTTTATTGTGAAATAACTCAAACATACTGTATGTTTTTTTCTGTCCTCTGATAAGCATTGTTCAGGGTTGCTGTTCCCAAAAGCTTTAATTGTTTCTTATGATACTTTTGGGAAACGCAGCCCTGTTTGAATGCACTTTTAGAAGTGAGTGAATGCTCTCTTTGATGGACTGGTTCTGTCTTGCAACATTTGCATATTCAGATGAGCAGGAAAATAGTTCCATCCTACACAATTACTTGTGAACAAAGGTTATTCGTCCAATTCAATGCATTTGTATGCATTATTATTATTTTAAATAAACAAAATCACTGGTAAATAAAACACACCATAGTATCGATATTTTTTGTTTGATTATCGATACTTTCGATACTCGCGTCAGTATCGATATATCGATACTTAGGATCGATACGCCCATCCCTAGTACTGGTGTGATGTAAAATGAACGAGAGTCAGTAAAAGAAGCAGCTCACAGCTCACGGTCTCACAGTGTGTTTATTAGACCTAAAAATAAGACACACCATTCGGACAAACATATAAAGGACACAAGAATATAACATGGTGTCAGAAGTGACATTACAGTGAGTACTGCGAACAGTTTTGTTGATACGAACTGATTAGCACGCCAGAAAATTTCAATCTTGGCAGACGAACACAGGACAATTCAAGCCACCCTCGTCACTAGTGCTAACGGGCAAATTGGCGCAGATGGGAGCAACGTTTTCGTCTGTATATGACTGCAACAGGAGCGAGTGCTAAACAAGAGCCAGTCAAAATGCTTGGAGGCCACGGATGCACTGAGTCCACACACACTTCAACAATTGAAAGAGGCCACTGCAGCAGACCAAGTGTTGCAAGATCTGTGTGAAAAGGTAGAGACTGGCTTGCCACAGAAAAGACGCAGTGTGAACAGCAACCTACATAGCTACTGGCCTATGCGACACAACATTAGCATGCAGAACGACATTGTAATGGTATGAGACAAGATAATCATACCTCACAACTTCAAAAAAGTCATCTTAGAGAAGCTACACATAGCTCATCAAGGTATCCAGAGAACAAAGGCCAAAGCAAGAAAATCCCTCTACTGGCCAGGAATAGCACAAGACATAGAGATGATGGTGGAGAAATGTGCACCGTGTCAACAACTCCAGCCACGACAGCAAAAAGAGCTTCTGATCACTCATGATGTTCCAGAACTACCATGGATGAAGGTTGGAGCGGATATCTTTGAGCTGAGAGGTCAGTCCTATATATTGCTAGTGGACTATTTAACAAAATATCCAGAGGTACTGAACATACCAGACAAAACAGCCCACACGGTAATACAAAAAATGAAATCAGTCTTTGCCAGACATGGCATCCCGAAAGAATTAGTGAGTGACAATGTTCCATTTGCAAGTTACGAGATGAAAGCATTTGCGGCATCATGGGACTTCAAGCTCATATTCTCCAGTCCAGGATACCCTCAGTCCAATGGACTTGCGGAAAGAGCAATAAAGACAGTTAAACATGCATTAAAGAAAGCGTTGCAAACTGGCACAGATCCACATCTAGTGCTACTGTCACTAAGAACTACACCAGTGACAGGTCTGAATGAATCTCCTGCACAAATGTTAATGGGTAGAGTCCTGCGGAGCACAATCCCATGCTCTAGTGCTGTGCTCCAACAGTCAACCCCACAACACATACACAAAAGGCTGGTGGATTTGCAATCTCGAAAGCGGCATCAGCATAACCGCAATCCTAAAACGCTACCTGAGCTGACTCCAGGATCGACAGTACATATGCAGACCAGATGTGGATGGGCGCCCGCTGTAGTGGAGCACCAGAGAGATGAGCCTCGGTCTTATACGGTGCAAACACCAGCAGGAAAGACATTCAGGAGAAACAGACGGCACTTGAGAAAGATACATCAGAGTCTGTGCAAAGGTGTTGATCCTGATGAACCTTCGAATGGAAAATCCACTCAAACAACCAGACCAGCTGACCAATCATCTGGGAATTCTCCGGCGAGAGTGGATGAGCATCCAACACGCCATACTAGAAGTGGTAGAGCAGTAATACAGCCAACTCGATATAATGATTATGTTCTGGACAAAAAGGCGAGACAAAACGTACATCTGTAACAAAAGGATCAAAGGATTCTCAAAGTAATTTGAATGTACTACTAATGTTCATGGTGACCACTGTTGAGCAAATATATGGTATGGTGTTTAGTGAGTTAAATGTTAAGACAAAGTTACTGTTTGATAGACTTGAATATGTATATGGGGAGATTTGAGTGCAGCCGTTTAAATGTAGTTTAAAAAGAGCCATGTCTGAGTTTGTTAAAAAAGGGGCATGTGGTGGATTTGGTTTGACACTCTGTGTTTGATTAAGTTGACTTGTGTGTCATACTGATCATCGGTTGATTGCTCAAGTAAAAGAAGCAGCTCACAGCTCACAGCTCACAGTCTCACAGTGTGTTTATTAGACCTAAAAATAAGACACAAAATTTGGACAAACATATAAAGGACACAGGAATATAACAATCTGAAGACAGCTTTATAAAAATAATCTAGAAATATGAATCTATGATCAGATTCTTGCTGATTTCGTGACAAAATGAAAGTGAAAACTAAACACATTATAAAATACCCAACCAAAGATATCCTGTTTAAACTAAACACATGCTTCTGATTATGATCACATGTTTGATAAAGTAAAGCTGATCAGACGAGAAGACTCAGTTAATCATTTTAATAAACCAGTTTACTCAGCTCTGTTTTAGTAGATTGGCATTTTAAATGCACTCTAACAAGATTTGCTTTCTACTTTAAAATTCTGTAGGCTTTTAAATTATTCCAAATAAACAAATAATCCTATTAAAGGGATAATTCACAACAAAATGAAAAGTCTGTCTTTATTCATCCTCAAAGGGAATAGCTGTTGTAATCAAACCCTGTTTGTCTTAAGCTGCTAATAAACAATATTTGTGATTATGACAGAAAATAATCATAACTACTGTTACAGCATAGACAAGCCTAAAATAATTATATGACACAGTCTTTCTGCTCTTTCTGGAGATAACAGTAATTACTAATTGGTGCACACCAAAATCATAAAATGCCAAAACATAAACCTTGCTAGAGATTATTCGTTGAAATTCAATATTGTGAAGCAGGAGTCCAGCGTGGTGTGTCCTACAAAACCACCTTTAACCACACAGCAAGTGCACAATACTAGTCTTCTTGTATATCAACTAAAGGTTAACAGCACTCTGTATGTTTCATTCAACAAAATGCAGATTGATAAATGAAGTATGTCTGAAAAGCAAAACAAAACAGAAGGAAAAGAAACCAGCATAGCAGTCACGCCAGACGGTCATTGTTCTCCATAAATAACCTGTCGGTGAAGAAACGCACCATCACACCACACCTGAAATACAAAGAAACCTGTCTACACAACTAATCGACTGTATCACACAATTTTGGTACTGCAAATATGTAAATAATTACTGGCATGCACTTCCTAATCTTTCAAATCACATGACAAACTGAACAAGTGATATTATGTCTACTGGAAATCCCAAAGCATGAAACGCCATCTTCTCATACTAATATAATGAAACTCCCTTGAGACGCTTCACAGATGACTCTAGAAGAGCTTTGCTGTAACAACTCCTCAACAATATGGCCTTGAATGATGTAAGTATTACAAATAAAAGCTTTCTCAGAGAAAATGTCTGAATAAAAAAAAAACATAATTTGAGAATACACTTTTAAAACAAGCAAAACATGTTTCTTTATGTAAAATAAAGTCTACTGTTGTAATTGTCTTAACTATCTTGTTAATTAATCATTTTGTCTGCTTACGCTTGTCAGTTAAGCAGAAGTTTAATTACGTGTGATTTTTTTGTAAACCACAGACAGACCTGCTGCAGTGAGAAAAATATCAAGACTGAACTTCCAGAGTTTTGAAAATGGAAGCATCAGGAATACTTCTGTCATCACGACTGCTTTCCCTGCTGAAGAACAGACACTGGGCAAAAGATGATGTTGTTAAGTTGTTTAAAGCCCTCGTGAAAGAATTTAATGGCAGAAATGAAGATTTTCACACATGGATGATGAGAATCCTTCATCAAGTGGAGATTCACAAAATCCAAATGTCGGATTTGACTTTGCAAAATGATGATAAGATTGTGGCCAAAATTAATGAAACAGTCAACAACACTAAAGAGAAAACACTGGACGAGATTCTGGAGGAAATTCGTAAACAAGCAGATATTGATGAAGAAATGATGGCACGAGTGAAAGATATAGTGTCTTCTGTGTCAGAATGTCTGTCAGCTTCCACAGCACCACATCTACAAGGAATAAAGGAAAGTTTGTTTAAACTCTGCAAATCTGCAGAAAAGACAATTGGACATAAACTTCGAGTGACCCAGATGGTGAGCTGGTGCATTCTGGTTCTTTCTAAATCAAGTCGGCTGGTTCAGGTTGGAACAGGAGAAGGAAAGTCGTGTATCGTGGCAATGTTTGCAGCATATCAGGCCATGATGGGAAACACCCCTGATATCATCTCCAGTTCTCCTGTACTTGCTGAAAGAGACGCTAAAGAATGGTCTGCCTTTTATAAGAGACTGAATATCACTGTTGACGTCAACACCAATAAAACAGAAGATCAAAAGCTGAAGAAGTGCTATGAATGCCAGGTAGTTTATGGTACGACTGTCAGTTTTGCAGGTGATTTTCTGAGACAGCGCTTCCACAGAAAAGATGTGAGACCTAAGAGAGAGTTTCAGTGTGTTCTAGTGGATGAGGTGGACTCGCTAATGCTGGACAAAGGTCTTGAAGTGGTTTATTTGAATAGTAATATGCCTCTCATGGAAACTTTGAATGGATTACTGGCTGAAATTTGGTTAATTATCAATCAGCTGAAGCGTTTAGACTCTGGAGAGATTTTAGGACCCATTCGGCTCCTCTCTCAGATTCTGTCTGAAATCATGCATGAAAATAAAAACACTGACCAACTCAGTATTGTGCAGAATGCTGCGGAAGCAGCAAAAGAACTAGATAATGCAAGTGTTGCCCAAACAGATGCATTCCTGAACATGTTTGTGGGAAAATTTCCTGAGTATTTCTTTAAACTTTACCAGGAAGCGCCTGATGGGAATTTAGAGAAACTAAATTAGACATTCCAAAAATCACAAATGAGGAAGAACTTTTTTCTGTCTACCTTGATGTTTTGGATGGTGTTTATGAAGATGATGTTTTTTCAGACCAGCGTGATGTAATCGTGTCCTCTCTTCATGAGTGCTGGGGTTTGTGGTTCCTGATGAACTCCAGTGAGGAAAAGCCCACTGAGACGATGAAGGAACAGCTGAAGCTGGACTTGTCGAGTGCAAAGCAGAAACTTTTGACTAAACAGTCTCCATCCTCCATGGTCTACTATTACATCAGGTCTGGAAACAATCTCCGTGAGAAGGGACGCTTTACTGAGTGCATTGAGATGTACACCAAAGCTTTGGGGGACGGTACATCTGGAGAGATTATTCCTCTCTATAATCGTGCACTGGCCACTATCAGAAGGAAAGACACCGGTTATATTGCTCAAGCACTGGCTGATCTGGAAAAGGCTGAAAAGGAAATAGATTTGTACAAGTCACATCTGGCACGGATTCTGACTTATATTAAATTATCAAGACAGGATACAAGAGCAGAAGGTAGTGATTTACTCACCACTCAGTTTCAAGTGAAGTGTGTGACTGTAGACCTACTGAAGATGAACATTCAAGATGCTGTGAATAAGTTGAAGAGAGCCGAAAGCAGAGGAGGGAATGTAAGCCTGACTGAAAAACTTACAATTTTTCTTGCAGAAGGCTTTGTTATCATTCCTCTAAGACTTATGAAAGAGCTGCCGATGGAATTAATGCATCTCAAGTCATTGGGTCTTGACACCATTTTCACTTTGGACACCATGTTTTCTTTGAGTGGCTTTTTGTCAAAGATCTTAAAATAGTTTTGCAATATGACACTTCTCAGATATCTTAAACGATTATCACAGTATCACAACTGCATCAGATATCGTGTGTGTGTCTGCGTGCTGGTTTATGTAGTTTATTAGACACAAATTTGTATAATGACATGGGTATGACATAGAGGTGGTTTATGAGGACACATCCTGTGATCCTGTAATACAAATGGCTTAAAAAAAACATATTAAATGGTGTTATTTTGAAAATCTAAAAATGCAGAAAGTGTTGTGTGAGGAGTAGGTTTAGGTGCAGGGGGTAGAAAATACAGTTTGTACAGAACAAAACCATTACACCTATAGAGAATCCCCATGAACAACACATACTAACATCATATTGTACTTTGTTTAGGGTTAAAAAAAAAAAAAAAAAAAAAAAAAAAAAAAAAATATAATAAAAAAAAATTTTTTTTTTTT